TCGAGACTGTGGTACTTACCTGATTGGAGACTTGGAGATTGTTGAGGTTGATACTCGGCTGCATCACAGTTGGACACCGGTTACATCTGGACTCGGTTATCTCCGACATTGGTGACCTTTGGCCCTCGACATTTGGATCTTGTTATATGACATTCTGGGCTACCATTTCGGAGACCTACCCGACTCTATCTTGTGACCTATCGGTGTGATCTACCTCCTACCTCCTTCGTCTCTCCTCCCACCTTTCATCTGTGCATGTGTGTACGGGATCTGGGTATCCTCTATGCATGACCCAGACCCCACCATCTCATGATTGTATGTGTGTGGAGTGATGCCATGTAGGTCAGTCTATGGGAGTCAGTCTATGTGAGTCAGTTCGTTATCAGACTTCCGCTGCATAAATGCTCATCCTATATTGGTTGATCTTTGGTTCTGCCCATACTCATTGAAGTATGTAACAGTGTGTGTGTGTGTCCCCAAGCCTCAGCCTTATCAAATATCCGGTCGAACCGAGATTCTTGCCCCGAGGAAGAGACATAACCCATCTTGCTCAGTAGTGTCTTTCCACTCAAGACCATAACAAGCAGGAGGCGGCGAAGAAATATTCCAGGATAGAATGTAATGAATTTATATTCTTGCACTGGGCGTACATTTCATTAACTAAGTTCATCGATGAACTCTGCCTCTACCCGGTAAAGCATTAGATGGCAATTTCTGGCTCAGTAGTTCAGTACCAATAGGGATGCCGACCATCTGATGGCACAGAAACCCATGTGCAGCATAGAGACAAGTATTAAAGACCACAAACTACATAGCCTGTTATATGTCTGACACTAAGAGTATCAGAGCCACCCACTTTCTTCAACGAGGACCTTCAAATGTGATGTGGGCTCCTGTGCTGTGGAATCAGCACCAAGGCATAATCACCTGTTTAATGAACAATGTTTAGCACATTGTGAAGGATCCTGGGGAGTGTCCTTCGGGACATCCGTTAAAATTGGAACGATACGGAGAAGATTGGCATGGCCCCTGTGCGAGGATGACACGCATAACTCGAGAAATGGTCCAAAAAAAAAAAAAAAAAAAAAAAAAAAGGGTCCTGGGGAGTGTACATTGTGGTAAAATCTGCTGTGCTCAGCGAAGAGGCTGAACAGGAATTCGCATATTGCTTGAGATCCAAGATGACCTCCTTGGCACTTTGCATAATCGAGCCACGTTGTACGGCACTTTCTCAATCAAGCTCGTTATCCTTGCTGTGAAGAGGGCCGATCAGCTGGAGAGCATGCATGTGTCTTATGAACTTGGTTGTTTGTCGATTTTCATCAACACTCGCACACACACAATCTCACGCACGCCCATACATGCATACGAAGAAGGGGAGAGGAGACAGAGTACACACTGCACACAGACAGAGTCAGCAGCGGGAAAAACATTATGCACAGGTGTGGAGATAACACGAAGGGTTTCTCACTCTCTGACCATACTCCCAACAACCAATCAAAGTAGACACCTGCGAGGATAACAAGGGAAAAATCTGAGATTGAGCCGATCTGAATCAATATCGTTGCAGAGTTTGTCTCGGTGTCTTGCCACTCACAGAATCACACACTCCACTCCCTAGACCACACCCAGTTAGTAGCGCCCCACAGCAACAGCCTCTCAGAGGCCTGCACAAGCCACCCAGATGAAGAACAGGAACTGCGATGTAACCCTCAGTGCCGATGAGCAACTCTGGCGAAGAAAGCTGCAGCTATGGCTGCAGCGCCACTGCAGATGTCATGCACAATCCCAGAGGAAGATGCAGCAACAGTGGTTCACCCACGAATACCATGTAGAGCCACATAATAGCTCAGCCGATCGCAAGTACCCCCAGGGGTGGATGCTCAGAGGACGCCCCAGTTATGGCGAGCTCCAGAAGGCTGGCTATGGCTGCCTTCCACCACGAAGGTCTCAGGATGCCGCCTGTAGGCAATCGGCTCTACTGTACTTGCTTGGCTCAGAACGGTGTCATGCGAAAATGAAAACAGCCAAAAGTCCTAACCCTAGCGACCTAAATCTAGTAATAGACTCACCTAGACCTAGACACGGACTGGACCGACAGGTACCATTTCAGTTCGGGCCTCTAGGGCCTCTACTTACCCGGCTATAGGCTCTCATGCTACGGGCCTAGGCCCGAGGGCCTCCCGTCCTAGTGATAGCCCGGGCCTGCTATTCGCAGTGCGGTCTAAGGGAACTGCGGGCCTGTAATTGTCCCGAAATTGCAGATATGTCCCTCACGAATTTCCCTCAGCACTGAACTCTCGGTTAGTCCCTGACACAAACAAAATTACGAATCTAACCCTACCGCTGTTACGGTACAGCCTCGCAGTTAGATATTGGCAGTCAAAACCAGCAAGTCATTGCATGTGTGTAAGCATGTGCTCTACGTTTGATGGCGGCTGGCGGCTCCAATTGTGTGTGCTGAGCGTGAGCGAGCCACGTTGGCCTTCAGGTTTTTCTTTCAGGGTACATTGCGCGGTCATGTTGGCACTTTTTCCTTCCTGCACGTTGCTTTTTCTCACCTCCACTATTTAAGGCATTGAAAGCGGTGTCAGAAGCAGGTGTCTGATTGGGGCCTCTTCCACATGGAAGCACTGACATCCTGAACCGCGCCGTGGGTTAAGGAGAGGCACCGCGATACAAATGCATCAGTGTGTCCAAGCAACAACCGGCCCGACTTTCAGGTAGAAGAATGGGTCGATCATATGGGCCAAAGGTGCGTTGATCCCCAATAACAGGGCGATCAATGCTGGCAGGTTTTTGCTGTAAAGGGACGCTTGAACCGTTTTCCAGCAGGTCCTGCTCCCCACCAATAGACTGGAGCACCCGGCATTCTCGCTAGAGGGGTGCTCTTATCACCTCTCCTAGCAAGGAGACCGGTTTTTCAACAAACAAAAAAAAAAGCTTGGCACGCCACTGACAGCCCACTTGATATATATAAGAGTATTGCATAGATAAGAAAAAGAATCAAAACCACAACCAAAACGAAAACGGAAATCAAGACCATCTATTTTTAAGATTGATGTCAAAGTCACAGTGGTCAATTTCCTGGACATGCGTGAATGCAATGCTGGCCAAATTCATCAATTGACTGTTTCCACAGTCCAAATCATTCACAGCAAAGCACAGTCCACGCACACAGGAAGCTGAAATGCAAGCAGTCTGATGGGTGAGGAGCTAGGGTGGGAATTCAGTTGTCATGGGTGGGAGGCCTGGGGCAGTGCGGGGTTGGAGGGACACCTTGTGAGGGGACTGAGGGGAAAACCACCCACCCTAACTGACAGCAACCTGCTAGGATCGAGAAGGTTCTCTCCCTGGTTACCATTGTTAGGAGATGGAGGATTTTGAAATGATGCATACTGGATAGAATGGAGCTCTGGAAAGCTGTGGGCCCTGCCGATAATACATTGATAAACGACTGACGTGGCATCATGGTGTAAATAAGTCTATGAACTATTTGGTAATGGCTACAGAGTTGAGAACGCATCAAAGGATGGATAAACATGGTCAGGATCCAAAGCACTCTTTCGTCAGGTTAAAAAAAAAAAAAAAAAGTTCAAATAACATAAACAAAGTAAAACAAATACACACGCTGCAACACTGTACCATGTGGCTCGTCCGACCTCCATGTGAAATCATACTCATTTACAGTCCCAGGCTCCACGTCAGCAAAAGCTAAGAAGTTTGTGAGGGAAGTTTTCACGGTACTCACAGCTTCACCCTCTTCGATGCTAACTCCGCTGTGCCTTGCTGCCATTGGCTTAGTGCACTCTGCCTGTCAGACATCACATGCTGCCATCACTGACACACATGTCAGAATCGGGCAAAACACAGATTTCAAATTTCTTTAAGCATCTGATGTCAAACCTTATATACATAACAAATGTACTCCCGCCCCTTCTTACCACGGGGTTTGCCGACGGCTATAACATTGATCATGACGGCAAGCAGGATGAGCCTGGCAGTGCAAGCCGGATACAGTGCGAGAAAGAGCGACGGAATAAGCTTATGACCGGCATAGAGCACGAGTGACTTCCAAATGAGAACATCCGATCGACCTATCCACATCAAGCAAGCCAGCAGCTAGGTGAACACATATGGGAGCAGCATGTGCGGTTCCAGGCAATGACAGGCATCCACACACAATAGCCCACAAGTTGCGGTCTGACCACTCTGGACTTTTCTGAGAAAGTGAATGCCCGTTCATCTGGTTTGTAAATATTTTTATGTCCAAGCAGTGTCCAACCCGGCGACCAATCGGCTGGTCGGCACCTACCGGTCGGGGGTCATTGGCACCCCGCACTTTTTTTTTTTTCCGGGGGGGGGGGGTCCAGAACCCCTAATAACCCCAGCCACACCCCCATAGCGGCCCCCAATACCCGCATACACCAACCTAACAGTCCCGAACCGCCCCCAACACCCTTATTAACCCCCCCAATATCCTGAAACGGTTTTCACCTTTTGCAGTAGCAGACGCAGATCCCAGGGCGCGATCCCTAGTCCCCACCTTACCTGTGTACAGTACCTGTGTCGACCCGTAGAGTTGAACCCACGACCTGTGTATTTGTAACAGTTGATAGGCTGTCGTAGGGTCCATAGGTAGCCAGGGTTCGATCTGTAGGTCTGTCGAATAGAAGTCTTAGTGAGTTCCAGAAGTCTTAGCTGTAGTCCTTCTAGAAGGTCGAGCAAGTGTGCAAGTGGTGGACCAACTGCAGTACGTTCGCAGTACGGTAGCGGTAAGATAGCAGTGCGTCCCCATGTAGTCAGCGGTAAGGTCCAGTCAGTCCCAGTCTGGTCCAGCAAGTACCACAAGGGACTGTCAGCACCATGGGCCGATGGAAAAGGGCAGACCAACGAGCTTCAGAAGTATAAATCAAGAGGCAGCGCCCAGCCATTCATTCATTCCTGCGTGAGCCATGCGGAAGCGCTGCCACAGCGAATTGTGCAAGGAGGTCTGCAGTGAGCCCCCGGAGCCAAAGTGGGCGAGAGAGAAGGAGTGTAACATAGCGATAGGGTAGTAGCGGCCATAGCCGCCATAGCTAGAGTTCGTGTGTAGCGCGTGTGTGTGTGTGTGAGTGCAGAGTACGCGTGTGGGATATCCAGGGTGATCCGGTGTATGCGAACAGAGAGTTGTTTGGGCGCTGAGTCGTCATAGCCATTGAAAGTGAACTCGTATCTGGGTTGCCATATCTCTGAGTTTTGAGTGGGCGCATGTCACCAGTTTGCTGCGCTACTGTTTGCACGCATGTAAAGTGTGCATGAAAGCGATTCTGATTGCACTGGTATCGGAGCTGGTACCCGCTATTCCATGAGCGCCGTCGTGTGCAGGGAGTGATGCGCCATAGCTGAGGTAGCCGCCAAGAGAAGAAGTCCGCCATAGCGGACCTCTGGAGGTTGGAGAAGCCGCCGCGCACCTGCAGAGAAGACCACGACGAAGAAGAAGATCGAGAGAGAGAGAGAGAGAGAGAGAGAGAGAGAGAGAGAGAGAGAGAGAGAGAGAGAGAGAGAGAGAGAGAGA